GAGTTGTAAATTTTTGACTCGGTTGAACCGTTTTGACACGGGTGACACGGTTTACTATAACCCGGTTCTAAACTCTATTAACAATCTTGGATCTGTAAGAAAATAGATTAATATTATTGTGCTTATTGTAGCGTTGAATAGCAATCAAACAGAAATCAAACATGAGATATTAACCGATATTGCTCAATATTATCCATTGTCAGGATCACAAGTTCACGTTTTGTCAGGGGCTTTTTAGTCAAAGGGCATATATTCTTTTTAGGTTCAGAAGAAAGGCATCGAACCCAACTATCATATCTACGCAATTGAAAAAAATATATGTATGTATATATATATATGAATATATAAAATATATCGATACAATAATAGTCGAAAATAAATTGTACCCCATCACATGTCCGTATGGGGAAATTGCAGGTTTTACAACTTCTTCAAGCGTAATTGGATCAATGAAACCAGGCAATGGATTTTCATCTTCGATTTCATCCATTTCAAAATCGATAACATGAGGTCCTTTACTTGAGGATGCTTGTGCTCTTGTTCTTTTTGTTGTGTTCCAAGATTTCAAAATGTAACTACCCGAATCATCATAATCTAGGTCATCATCGTCGTCATCAGAAGCATAGCCTCGTTTTTTTCCAGTTTTACGCTTCTTTTTTGCTGGTGTTGACCGCGTGGTAGATTTAGATAATGATGTTTGGGTTTTGGTTCCACTGTTGCTTCCGTGCTTGGTATGTGTACGGAAAACCTTTTCGGTCACTCCAGTTTTTTTGTTTGTTGTGCTAAACAAATAATGTGCTTTGCCTTTATCATCAAGCACATAATTTGGATCCTTGATACGTCCAGTCTCTATTAATAGTCGATAAAAATTCGAACACTATAAAATAATATCATGGTCAAATTATTATGGCGAACTCTTAAACTTATATTAAGTTTAATACATTATTAATGAACTAATATTGCCTGATAGCCAACTCGGCCAGGAATTGCCATGGAGAATATGCCCCATTGGCCATCAGCTCCGGTTTCTTTCATTTCTTTCAATCTCGAGAAAAAGAGTTCTTCTTCTTCCTATTTTTAATCTGTAGTCAATAAATTATACTACTATAAATTAGTTACAACAATGATGAGCATTTATTATTGTAATACCTTAGTCCATTGACCTTTTTTTTGTTCTTCACCTGGTGCGTTAAATCGGTAATAATATGTGTTTGGCTTGGTTTCGATTGCTTTGTATGCCTTAATTCGTGCTTCCGACCAGCCTTCAAATGCTTTTTCAAGATCCCTTGTGTTGGCTTGAACTTGCTTCAAGGCGTCATCCAAAGCAAGACGACCTTTCATACGGTATTGTCTAAGCGATGTTAATGCAAATTGAAATATGAACTTAAATATGAACCTAAATATGAGAAACCATTTGATGAATTTCTAGTATGTACTTTTTAGCATTTTCTCCCGTAGTTTTTTTCAAAGTTTCCTTTCTTTTCTTTAATAATTGTTCATATGCCTCTTTCTGTTCATCAGTCATCAAGTTAACTGTAATGTTTATAGATTTAAATGAGCATAACAGTAATTGGAGCTTTGATTCGGAAAATTTATTAAAAATTACGTACTGTGCAAAGAACGCAGATTCCTTTCGGCAATTGTTTTACGAATTTCGATCAAATAACGAGGTTGCGTCATTCGAACGATGACTTCTTCCTACAAATTTGTAAAACTCATTAAAACTCATTTAATTGTTGCTTTTATTTCAAAAATAAAGACTTGACATTAGACCTCATCATTCTCACAATCACGTAGCGCTTCGGAAATTTCTTCGTCAGATACAAATTCAAATACTCCACGTATTTTTAGCGATTTACGTTCACGTTCACGTCGTTCAAACTCGGCATACTGAGAACGTTGTCAACATCAACAGCTAACTAAACTCATAAAACCGCAAAAAATAAAGCACTTAATACAGTAGTTACCTGACGTTGTTGTAATGCGACTCGTTTATCAATGATTCCCTGTTCTGTTTCAGTAACATCTTGAGCAAAAAGACTCGTTTTCCGGATAGTTTCGATTTCTTCACTAAAGTTGAATTATCATAATAGTTATTTTAATTGCGAGGGCGTATTCACAATTTACCATCAGTATTAAATTCAGTACCTTTGATGCAATAACGGAGGATTGGCATACTGATTTTCCTCCGTTTGATCTTTACTATCTTTGCTTTGCATGTTGGCCCTGAGGATTTGCTGTTAAATGATCTTAGAATCTTGTTAATGAACCAAAAATTACTTACAGAACAATAACAGTAACAAAAAAAAAAATCTACCGTAATTTCGGAAACAACGACGGAAGGTGGGGGTGACGCTAACATCCAATTTACGTATGTTGGGTTTGCTATCGGGTTGAGGCAGTCTTGAAATAAAATAAAAACTAGTCAAAAATTCCCAAAGTTCCTTTTTGTACGTTAAAGTATTAAAGCTTTTACCTTCCTGAAAAAATTGCGTGCGTTGCTTTTCTTCTCTGCAAACCGTGGAAGAACCTCTTGTAGACGTGTGTCCACGCGCCATTGGACTTATATTTCTTTAAATAAGCTTTACAACATGCAAATTATTTATAAGAACTTTTAATCTTAAATTGCTACGAGACTGTATTTATTCCAACTTCACTTAAAGAAGGTTTTTGTGTGTAGTCGCGTAAAAGCGCGTTTAGCGAGTTTACAAAGTGTTTTAATCACATGATTAGATGTTGTGTTATAACTGTTATTTAACGGGAGCAAAACTTACTTTTTTGATACACCTAAAATTTCTCACGTGAGATTTAGTATAATATAAAAAAGTAAAGAAATTTTAGGTGCGCTTAGAATGTATCAAAGTAAGTTTTGCACAACGGGAAATAATACCGCCAGGTTTACGGACACGCGTTTACTACAGTACTAATTTCACTCCCAAGTTTATTGGACGAAAGCAAGAAACTACCTTTTGTATACTAACAAAAGAAATTCTAACCCTAACCTTAACCCAACTAAGATATCACATTATAAAAGAAGGTGATATGCGAATAATCCCAGCCAATAGAAATTTGGGAGTAGGATCCGCTGAAGAGCCTTACGTAATAGATGTTTTGATGAGATATTTTTACCATATTCATAGTCCAACAACTGATTTAAATATATTAATACACCTCGATGTTACAAGCTGCGTCCTTTCGATTGGCCATAGTTGGAAGTGGCCCGGCTGGCTTTTACACAGCATATCATATGTTGAAAGAACACCCATCCTCGTTGGTGGATATGTATGAAGCTCTACCAATACCTTTTGGGCTGGTCCGTTATGGAGTCGCGCCCGATCACCCGGAAGTAAAGGTATTTATTATTGAATTTCCAGAGCTCTCAAGGCCGTCTATGTATTTGTGAGTAACCTATTCAATAGAATGTCCAAAATAGATTTGATGAAGTTGCTCGTGATTCTCGTTTTACTTTCATCGGCAATGTAAAATTTAGTAAAGAACTTAATATTGCCGATTTGAAATCACATTATGATGCTATCCGTAACGTGTTTTCTGCACGTGCTTTTGTCGGCTGGTATAACGGTCTTCCACAACATCGTGATTTACGGCCTGATCTTATGTGTTCAGATAATGCTACCATAATCGGTCATGGGAATGTGGCATTAGATATAGCTAGGATATTACTGACAGATGTTGATAAATTAAGAAAAACTGATATTACCGAATATGCTCTAGAATATCTCCGAAAAAGCCGAATACGTAATGTTACGCTTATCGGAAGAAGAGGACCTCTACAGGTTCTATTTTGATAATACAATAGTACGTTTATGGGTTAATCTTTATTGCATAAAAATCATTTAATTGGCTTTTTATTATGATTTGCTACAAATTTAGGTGTCTTTCACGGCCAAAGAACTTCGCGAGATGATGCACTTACCTAATATTCGATTTCATATTAACAATGAATTAGTGAAAAAGGAACTTTCAGCAAACACGGAACTTATTTCTCAAAATCGCCCTTTGAAACGCTTAATGCAAATTCTAGAAAGTGGTACATCTAACACTATTGGTGAAAAATCATGGTCTCTTAAATTTTTGAGGAGTCCGGCCGAATTTATCACGAGTGATACTGGCGATCCCTCTCAGACAAAATTTATTAAAGCGGTTAAGTTTCACGTCAATAAACTTGAGGGCCCACCGGGCAACCGGATAGCTGTTCCCACTGGTATTATGGAAGAAATAGAAACTAGCCTGGTATTTAAGAGTGTCGGGTATAAAAGTACACCCGTTGAAGGATTGCCGTTTGATGAACAAAAAGGAGTTGTGCCTAACGTTAAAGGCAAAGTATTGGACAAAAATGGTAATGAGGTATGGTCGCTATTTCAATTATAATTCTTGATATTGTTCTGATAATGTAATTTTTAAATTAAAATCTGATATACGTAAAGCTTCCTGGTTTTTACGTATCTGGATGGCTTAAACGTGGTCCACAAGGTATTATTTCTACGACAATGTATGATGCTTTTGAAACCGCAGAAATTATAGTATCAGATATTCAACAAAATAAGCCGATGCTTTCTGATACCACTGATAGTTATCCTAAAAGGG